TGCCTCCCCTCAAGACTCCTTTAACGGGGAACCCTGGTATCACCGCCACAAGGGGGACGTGGGTCATGTCTTCACGCACCTCCCCCATTTAGGAAGATAGACTAAAGGATTCCACCCAAGGCCTGAAACCGCCAAAGTTGTGACATTTTGCTATGGGAAAGGCAAAACCTGCCAATGCAGGAAAATTCCTTTCCGGCCCTTCAACAGTGACCCTGATGTAGCAGCGCCCGCGTACCTGTGGAGAAGAGATTAACCTGCAAAAGAAGACTTAACTGAGGGAGGGGAGGGTGAGAGAAGCTCTGGAGCTGACTGCTGCTTCGCAGGTAAGATTCCCCTTCTGTTGTGTGGGCAGGACAGTGCCTCCCCTTACCTGGCTGATCCCCTGGCAACGCCTCCCCAGGCGGGATTGGGTGATGGGCTGAGGTAGGCGGAGACCTCCAGGTATCCAGCCTGGGGAGGATGAAGCCAGCCTGAACTACCAGGAGTCACACTGGGATCCGGGGGGCAAAAGGCACCCCCATTTGATGTGGGGAGCGGTCATTCCTAAGGGAGTTTCTGGTACTGATTTTAGTATATCATTGTATTGGAATGTGTTGCTCTTCACCGGCTGGATCTACATGTTTTGAATTAAAATGTTGTATAAAGCTTAACAGGAGTTTTCCATTGTCAGAGCACCCTCTGGAGTCACATTTTAATAACACATTTTAAACGTTTAAAATGACGTGTAGATGAGACCTTGGTTATGGTGATCTCCCCACACCCACACAATATTTGAATATCTAATTGTTTACAGTAGATTGATGATTTTCAACAGAGAAATGGTGGGGTCACAAGAAGTTAGGCAGGTCCTTCCCCTGCTCCTCTACTGCTCCTGATCATAGCCTTGAGGCTGCTTTTGAATAAAGAACTGGATTGTTAGAAGAACATCATGAAACATGTTGTTCAGCCCTCAATGAGCTCTCATTCCATAAAACCTGTTGGTTCAAGAAAAAAGACTATAGAAAGGAGACTTCCTGGATGCCAAGATACCCCAGCAGAGATTTAAAGTCACAATATATCTAGCAAAGTAAAGCATGGAAATATAGGCTGTAAAACTTTAAATGTAAGTGAGTTCCAAGATGTTCCCTTAAAAAATTCTTCCCAAGCCTTCCCTCTTCCCCCAGCATAGGAAAAGGCCACAGATCTGGTAAGTTTAAAATTATTTACTTACAAACTAGCCAAAGATCAGATTCATACGCTTCAGAGTAGCTGCGCAGGCAGTAAAACTTAGCTTAGTTACAAAGTGGTGAAAGTTCCTAAATTATTGCTATAGGCCAGTGGTGGCGAACCTATGACAAGCATGCCAGAGTGGGCACTCAGAGCCCTCTCTGTTGGCACGTGCACCATTGCCCCAGCAGGGCCATTCCTGGGAGTCGGCAAAGTGGGAAGCCGCTCCCCCCCACGGCACTGCGGGCGGGAAACGCTCCCTATAGTGCGCACCGGATGCAGTAGCGTTGGGGGATTTGCTCACCCGCCAACCAGCTGATATTGGGCCACACTGCTTCCCCCCATGCTATGATTGGTTGGATTGTTTGCTGCCACAAACAGAAGATAGTCAGTGGCAATATTGTGTGTGACTTGCAGCTGCGTCAAGGGTTTTTTAAAAAATTGTTGCTGACGGCGTGCGTTGAGACGATTTGTAGCTTCAGCCTGCTACAAGAAGTGTTGTCCATGCATGTTAGTGTTTATCTGCACATCCCCCCCCCAAAAAAAAACCTCTACAACTCCTGCCAATCTTCCCCACATTATGGTATATTTATTTTTATGTGCGCATGCAGATGAACATTATTATCCCACATTAAATTGCTGTGTTTGCACTTTGCGATAAATTAGTGGATTTTGGGTTGCAGTTTGGGCACTCAGTCTCTAAAAGGTTTGCTACCACTGGTATAGGCAGTGCTTTTTTTCCTGAGGGGACGCAGGGGTACACATACCCCTAAACATTTTGTGAATCTGCATTTGGCCTCATTGAGGGGCATTATTTCAATATGAGTAGGAAAATAAGAGTACCCCTAAACATTTTTTTAGGGGGTAAAAGGACTGGGTATAGAGGCAGAAATAGCTTTTCCTTTCCTGTCATTTTTTCTTTTAAAATGTTTATTTGTTGCTGTTGATAAGCAAAACCCGTGCCCCCATCAAACTATGCTACCTCATAACATAGCATTGCTTCAAGACATTATCGGAGGAGAAAGATGCTGCTGCTGCTGCTTGCAATGGCAGCAATGCAAAAGTTAATAAAGGTTCAGAAGGAATGGTCGCTCCTGGGAACTTCCACCTCTGAAAGATCAACATGGATTCTCAGCCGTTCTGTGAGAAAGCACTCGAATGGGCTCCTTCTTTCCACTTTCCAGCCCTTGGTTGAAGCTTGTGCGCACACACGTTACTTCTTGCGGATCATGGTCACCCCCTTTTTCAGTCACATCATAACTTTGTCATGGTATTTTCTCATGCCCTCTGTCAACGTCCTTTTGCATGGTGGCCATCTCAAAGGCCGCGCGGTAAAAGCAATGTAATAATAAATTGACTCTGAGAGCCAAATGAAACATATAGCTGTGACATCAAATGCAAAGTTACTGCACATGGCCTTCTAATATGAGGCACTGTGTAATGGGGAGTTGCTTCCAAAGGGACGAAAACAAAACGTTAAGCTCCACTGATTTTAGCAGTTCAAAAATAAAAATAAAGAATTGCTGGAGCTCTCATTCAATAACGCCATAATTCAAATTCTTAAGCCAGGGGTTTGTTGAAGGCTTGATTAATGTTGATAGAACTCTTTACTTCTCATACATTTACTGCTTTTTTAGACAGCAACTGGAATAGATTTCAGACAACAGGGATCAGAATTATGTGTTATCTGTCCATGAAACACAAATCGAATGTGGCAGTCGCAAGTTGATGAACAAGCTTGAGTGTCCTTCGCAGCTTGTCCTATAATATTGAGAGAAAGATATATGTCGCCTATTACTTGAAGAGATCTGTTCTGAAGAATGAACTATAATAGGGTCTGCTGCGAGGTAGAAGAAAAATTCCTTGCTGTGCTTGTCAGAGAAAAAAATGATTGTATGAACTGATCTTGCTATAGCCTAATAGTGCTAATTGCATGCTAAAATCCGTAAGACTATTCTTGTGTGTGATAATTCTTTTCCCCCTCCTTCAGATTTCACTGATCTCATTTATATTCTTTTATGTAAAAATAATTGGTTTGGGCATCGTTGTTGTTTTTAATGATTGTTTTCAAATGTTGCTGTCTTTTCTGCTAACTAGAATTGGAGGAATTTTTGATCAAGATTATTTGCCACTCTATGAATTTGCATAAACGTGATTATCTGAAACACGATGCTGAGATGTTCTGCTGCTTCCTCTTCCATTCATGTCAATGACTTTGGCTTTAAATATCATGGTGATAATTTATATCCCAGCTGCATGCATCTTCACAATCACATCTGCCCATCAAGGAAGTCATTATTTAGGACACAATTCAGCCAAACTTAAACACTGTAAAGTTCCACCGATTTCCAAAGATGAACAACCATCAACTGAAATTAAAGGCTCTTTGAAGTGCTTACCTGAAGTGGATCATGACCTTATTTATTCTAGTATTCTAATATCTAGGCTATTTGCTCCCCACAGGCAGGCCTAGGGTGGATGCTAACCAAACTATAACTATGCTACAAACACATATATATGGAAAAGTGGAATCCTGCTGAAACAGAAGATATGGAATGCATTCTCCTCCAGATGTTGCTTGACTACAACTCCCATCACCCTCTATCATGGACCAAGCTGCCTGGTGTTGATGGGAGTTGTAGTCCAACAATATTTGGTCATAGGTTCCCCAACCCTTAAATGGTAGAAAACTCACATTGGATACCAAGTCCCATCAGCACCACCAGGTATGGTCCATGATCAAGGACGATGGAAGTGGGAATCCAGCTTTTGGAGAACCACAGTTTCTTCACTTGTGAGCAGAGGATGCTGGCAGGAACAGGGATACAGGAACACCCCAAGGTTCTATTGGAGAAGCAATGGCATGTGAATAAAGTTAGATAAATGTCTTGCCGAGTAAGGGTGTATGAAATTAGTTCACTCCAGCTCAAACCGGTCATGTTAGTTGATCAGAGCTTTTTTATGGGGCCCACCCCACCCTTCTTTCTCTGATCCAAGCAGATACCACTCTGTCTGTGTCTGCTCCTTCTGTTGAATTCAAGCTGTGTAGCGTTGCTTGCAGTCTATTCCTGCAGTACTGAGTTTACAAAATGCAGTCCCGCTCTGCACAAGGCTGACTGATTTTCTCAGCAAATCAAACACTTCAGAAACAAGTTCAACCTGAAAATGCACTAAGCCTTTTGCGACCACCTAATTTGAGTGCTCACAAAAAAAGTGAATACTATGGTGCCCCCAAGGCCAAGGATGGCAGCAGGTGATCCAGATTACCAGCAAACATCTATTTCTGCTGGGGGTGGGACTGGGACTACAAATTTCAGCATCCCCAGTGGGAAAATGGCACAATTTGAGACAATTATCACCAGAGGGGAAACCCTCCTGTAAGAATTATGTTCCATTATATACAATAGGAGACCTCAACACTGCAAGGCAGCAGAGGCGTCTTGTTCTTTTTAAAGTTGTTTCAATATTTACTAATTTCTTTGACCAAGGTGGACATGCTGTGGGGCAACTGTGATCCCGATCTGTGTTACTTAAAAAAATGAGCCTGTTTTAAAAATTGGGAAAATGGTGCTGGAAGAGAAGGAGATTAACTCTTTCCTCATGCCGTGTTCCAGACACAAATCCCTCTAAGCCAGGGGTCACCAACCACTGTGCCCACAAGCACCCCCACTAGCACCCACAAAAATCCCCCGATAACCACTGTTGAAGGTCTCCAGTAACCACAACTGATAGATTGGCTGGAAACCAGGCTTCCAAGTTATTTACTGGGCTGCACGTAGACCGCCCTTTGTACACACCGCCCATCAATACTACCGATTGGATGGTTTAGTGAGGTCCTCAGATTAGCCCCGCTGGGGTCGGCCACAGCCCTGGTGGAGCACCAAGAAGACAGTCAAACTTGACTATCTAGAGGAAGTAAAAGTCGTAACAAGGTTTCCGTAGGTAGATGCCAAGTTACAGGAAACCAGGCAGAGGGCCTTCTCGGTAGTGGCACCCGCCCTGTGGAACGCCCTCCCACCAGATGTTAAAGAGAACAACTACCAGACTTTTAGAAGACATCTGAAGGCAGCCCTGTTTAGGGAAGCTTTTAATGTTTGATGGACTACTGTATTTTAATATTTTGTTGGAAGCCGCCCAGAGTGTCTGGGGAAACCCAACCAGATGGGTGGGGTATAAATAAAAAAAATATTATTATTATTATTATTATTATTATTATTATTAGGCATGCCCTTTTCCAAAGGCAATTCAGATTGGATGCCAGGCCTCTTCCTTTCCCTTGTGGATGGGGAGAGTACAGCAGAGAAGAAGGGTCAATACTGCAGAAACTAGACGGTGATGGTTGAATAGCATTAGGTTCTTATGCCTTTCTTTGTTTTCTGTGGAAGGCATGTCAGAAAGCACTCATACTTTAGGTGGTGGTGGGAGCTTCAGGCCATGGAACCTACTTTTTCCATTTAACCCCTTTCAAAGTTTTATGCTCCCCCCCCCCCATTTTTGCAGAAATGGGAAGCAGCGTTGTGGACCTGCCTCATGCTTGTAGGGTTCATGAGTGCTCTGGGGCATAGATGCCACTATTTCCATGCCCGCTGTGGCATTTGTACAGAGCCCCCGGTCGTTTCACAGACTATTGACCTGTACACCACTGCTTTATTCTTCCGCTGCCACCAACCAGGTTTCCTCTGGTGAAATACTGAGTCTCAGTCAGGTTGTAAAGTCAACAACAAAGATTAAAGTTTCTTGAAGCACAAACAAGTTTTAAATATGTTCAGAATGGTTTCTCAAATACGCACCCTTAACTAGATGTGGCACTATCTCACACTGTCACACTCTTCTCTCTCAGTTCCTATCCCTGTTTCTCACTCGGTCACAACCACTATGTTCGACTTTTCTGCCTCTGTCTGACCCTCACTCCTCTATCTCCCCCTGGTAAACCCCTGGGCTGAGCCTCAAAACCAGGTAGGCTCCGCCTCTGAGCTTTCTCACTGGTCAATCTACATTAAACATTTCCATCCCCCTGTACAAACATAATCACAAGGAATGGGCAAATGCCACACCCACCTATTTGAGGTTAATAGTTCTCTGGAGGAAAGCATTTCCTGTTGAAATCAGTTGAGAAATACTTAATTAAAGCTGGTTTGTGTCCTATTTGAGTTACACAGTACTTTACACCTGGAACAATGGAGATTCAGACTAAACATTAGGAAGAGCTTTCTGAAGGTAGAAGTTGTTCAACAGTGCCAGTGGTGGACTCTCCTTCACTGGAGGTTTCTAAAACAGAAGTTGGATGGCCATATGTCAGGGATCATTTGCAAAATGTGAGGCAAGCTGCCTATCTGATTCAAAGCAGTGTTTGGAGAAAGGCAGGGAGGTGGAGGAAGAAAACTGACAAGCTCTTAGAAGCTCTTTCCTGAAGTTTTCTCCCCATAGTCAGCAAAATGTTATGATGTTTTATGCTTCATAGGTTTGATTATATAATCACCAAGCTTGTAGTGAAGAGGCACCTAAATACTTTGAGTGTAACATTGGCACTTTTGACCAGACTAAAAAGCCAGTGCATTTACATTGTAAACAGCAGAGATGCAACCTGCATTGTTAAATGTTTGTGAGGGGAATGCACTCAGACATTTGACTTGAATGCTTTGAGGTTATTTTCTGGGGTAACCAAATTTAGTTTGCACTTTTTGCAATAGCTTTATTCATAGCAATCTGTTAGAGACAGTCGTGCCAAGAAACAGCAACAAATAAAACTTGTTCATTTATATTTACAGCCCAACATTGATTTGTACCAATAAAACTTATTATTAAGCAATAAAACTTAATAATTTAGAAATTAATAGACTGCAAATTAAATTATGTTCCGCCAATATATAATTAGTTTAGCAATAGTAATGATATAATTACCTGTATATTGCAAGCCACCATAGAAGAAGAAATACCTTCCAACACAATACAGTATCATTACTATATTTTAGTTTAGATATCTAAATACATGCAAAATTAAATATGTAACAATATTAGGTTTATATGCAGTGGATTTCTGATTGCTCATCTGTACTACTTTGGAAGACAATGATATTAGCAGACTTTCAGGCTCACCCAAGAAATGCGTCTCACTCCCCCTCTACTTTTCATTCTATGTTCAGCTTTTCTTCTCCCTTTATTATATGCTTTGCTCACTAAATAATTATTCATGGTATAGGTATTTGTTTTTCTGTAAACCATATTGTCAGTAGGTAAAGACACCAACATAGATAGAGATACAGATTTCTACAATAAGGAAGAAAAATGGAAATTTCCAAATGATGTATCCCAGGAAAACATAAGAAGCAGAATTCCAGAAAAGGGGGAAATGTTTTCCTAAAATCCAGACAATACTTAATACTGAAGTGTTTACTGCCAATTCTCCTATATACTCTATATTTACTGCAATAATTTCGGAATATAAAAAAGAAACCATTCTAATCAGCAGCTATGTTTGCAATTGCTTTAAAGATCGTCTGGCTTGGTAGATATGTTATTGCTGCAAGAAAAATCATTTCCTAGGTTATTTTTTTTGTACTAAAACAAATATTAGCTTATGATTCTCTTGTGCTATTTCCAGCTCCCCTTTGAGATGGTAATAATGGGTTTTACATTTCCAATCACATATAATGACATGTTGCTAAAGCGTTGTGCAAGCATTTAAAAAAATGTTTGAAATTATGTGGATAAAACACTGTTATAGAGTGCATTGGGAAAAGAGCACAAGATGTGACAAGAAGGAGAAACCACACCTGGGTCACTTAGCATTGCCGAGGCATTGCTCTTCCACATCCGGTCAGAAGTACAATGTCCACTGTAATTCCTTGCCACATTTAATATGTAATTTGTGAATTGACATCCTGTGTCAATGCCTGTCCCTATAGCAGAGATGAAGTATTACAGCAAGAACCCTGAGAAAGTATATTCAGGAGAATGGCCATTCAGTGCCTTGGAAAAATAGACCCATAACTGTGCCGCTGCCAGGGCCGGATTTAGGTTTCATGAGGCCCATAGCTACTGAAGGTAATGAGGCCCTTTATATGTCCAGCTGTCCTTTGTCAACAACAAATTGTCACTGTTTTTTGTGTTGAATATATACTATATGGTAATTTATGGACCTAGTAGGTATCTAACCAGTGATATTTTAGGCTAGTAGGCAGGGCCCATTACTTACATCATAGGAGCCTACACAACACAAAACACTGTTGTTGTATGTAGGTTTTTCTTTTACTTACTTTTGTTTTGGAAATGTACATCCAGGTGTTTTTTTCCCTTTACATTATTTGGGGGGCCCCAAGAGAGTGGATCCTTAAGCTATAGCTTGTTTAGCTTATACGTAAATCCGGCACTGGCCGTTGCATGGCAATGTATATGAACAGGACTGAACCATCATGAAGCTAGATGAGGCGAACTGCCTCAGGTGGCAAGATCCACAGGGGCAACAGATCCTGTTGTAAATCTTTAGATCTTCACTCACTCACTCACTCTTCCCTGGTGGGGAGAGGGTGTCATTTTGTGATTCACCTCAGGTGCCAAAATGTCTTGGGCTGGCCCTGTATATGAAGATTGAAAAACTGGGTTACTCCACCCTTGAAGGGCAGAGGAATCGCAAGGGGAGCTAAACAAATACTGCAATGGAGCTACTGGAAGAAAAGCTCCCCAGGGGAGTGTGGGGCTTCTTGTTGTCTCAGGCAACCTCAGAGAGAATGTACCTACCAACCCACCCAAAGAGCCCCTTGAGCTGTCAGTCTCTACCCAATCCCAGTCAATCATCCCTCCTCCATCTTTTTGCCCTCTTTACGGCCTGACCTATTGCTCATTCAGGGTTTTTTTTTCTTTAGCCACAAGGAAAGTAGAAGTAATTAGTTAGAAACCATGAGTCTTTTAAAGCATCAGTATTCCCAAAGCACATCCTAAGAGTATGGCTTGACTGCACTGGACTGGCTAGTGATGCACATGCATTAAACCTAAGAAAAATCATCACAACCGAGGTCTCAAAACATTGGAAAAAAAACCACCATGGCTATATGACAGATCAGAACCTACGTCTTCTGGATTGCATAACAGTGCGTGAACAAAAGGCATTTCCAAAGAAAAGAGGTAGTGGAGACTCACCTATGACCATTCTTGTTGGATTAGCAATTATTTTACCATTTCACGGAAGCCGCGAGGACATCCAAACTGGATGGCGCCTGTTGTGCTGAGGGAGAAGGGATTCAAACCTTTCCCTCTGCACCATTTTCAACATATACACTACCTCACAGATTTCATATTGGGCATGATGTGGAAAAGGAAGACTGGAACCCATATTGTACCTGTCCCAAACAAGCCTAAAGGCTACCCCAGGGGGTAACTGGATCGAGGAAGAAGGAAGAACTGGATTGAGGGAAGGGGCAGTCAACCTCCCACATTTGCTGCTTTTGAGTGTTAAAAAAGGATACTGATTGGGACTCTCCTGTGTTCCATATATTTGACCATTATGTATATAAACACATGCAATCTTACATTATTCTCTCAAAGCAGATAACATAAGGCCCTTTACAGCCAAATCTATTCTTCTTTGAATATTTTTACAGAAGCCTTATCTTTTCTTTTCCTTTTTTTTTTACAAACTCAGTTAATGTCAAATGTCCAGATGTCAACCATTTTGTCTGCAGCGGTTTTCTGTGATGCTGTTCTGTGTAAAATTTTACCCCTTGCCCACAGGAAATGTAACATGAGAGCAAAAAGCTCAGAGGGGGTGTTGAAATATCACCAGATGGTTCTGTAAGTGTCCTTTTTATTTCTCTGAGATATAACACTCACTGAATTGAAAGAAGAGGTGGTTGTCCCATAGGTTTTGAGGGAATGACATTGTAGCTCGACTTTACTCAATTGTAAACTTCTTTCGGGTTTGTTGAGCATGGGAGGGGTGGAATTGACAGCCCCTACCATACAAATAA